CATGGTACATTTTATATGCGCAAAGTCCAGTTCAATTGTCTACTGTACATGATATCTACAATTTACATTGATATCTACAGTTTACATGTTTACTGTCCAGTTTACATGTTTACTGTACAGTTTACATGTTTACAGTACAGTTTACATCTTATCTGTACAGTTTACATGTTTACTGTACAGTTTACGGTGACATGTTTACTGTACAGTTTACATGTTCACTGTACAGTTTATTTGTTTACTGTACATATTACACGTTTACTGTACAGTTTACATGTTTACTTTACAGTTTACACCTTGTCTTTAGTGCAGTTTACAAGTCTTCTGTATAGTGTAGTCGTCTACTGTGCACTACAGTACAGTGTACTTTTATACTCTACTGTGTATTCGTCTACAGTACAGTTCATGTCTGTACTATTTATCTGTGTATTGCACAGTTTTCTGCCCATTACCGTAGGATGTATAAACCTAGAATTATTCTGTTTACAGGTTTATAGCGCGGAATTCTCAACCTGAGACAGGATGGTAATTATTAACTCCAGGTCACGATAAACCCTGTAGCCATGAAACCATTCATACTCCCACTTCTCTCTCAAGCCCAGATATTCATGATCCCGTCCTGCTCATCTCTACTCTCTCCAGGTTGATCCAAGTATTTAGCATAATCTTACACCCTGATCATTATCCTCTCTCCGTACCTGTCATCCCTCTTGGAACAGATCAGAACTGATCAGAACAGTTGAGAAACGGATAAGAACAGTTCAGAATAGGGCTCTGTCTTAAAATTAAAATCTCTTCCCCCCATATTTGTAGTGTACAAAAGCAGGGGTTGTCAATCGAATTCTAGGAAGTCATCAAACTTTTTTTAAAAGAATTATGCTTAATTTTTTCAACGAAAAGATTTAACATTTTCAAAACTTTTTTAATTTGATAGAATAAGTATTTAGATAATCTACAGGGTGTTGTCGGCGGATCTTGTTAAAGAATGGAAGTTAAAGCATGATTTATTAATCGTTATCCTCCAAGTTTCTCCTGGTACCTTATTCTTAACAGGTTTACTCCAAGTTCAGATTTACTCTTGGTTTAAATCAGGTTGAGGTTTGATCCAGGATCGGAGAAAGGTTATATTTTCTCTGCGTACAGAGTAAACAAGTTCATGTTTGCCAAAGGTATAGTTTTACTTTAGATTAAGTTTTCTTTTCAAAAGATTTCAGTTTTTCTCATTTTTTTGAAAGAGTTCGAATCAAGGTTATCATATTTATTCAAATATATACTTAATGACATGGAAATCTTAATTTAACAAAAAGGTTGATATATTGCCTTTTGAAATTAAATTTCCTGCCTGCTTTGCAGAACGGGATGTTATTTTACTCAATTATTCCTGTAGGGACAGTGAAGTAACATCACATTCCGCCATGTGTTTGTTAAAAAAAAGTTCATCCTGAAACAAGAAATTAAGAAATTGATTTGGGCGAAATAAGATTACAGTAATAAATAAAATATACCAGCAATGAAGAATACCAAAGACATGTATCGATATTAGCACTTTGAAAAAAAATATTGTTTTCAGTAATAATATTTATCTTATGGGTCTCGATCCTTTCCTAAAATTCGTAGGTTTCAGCCTATCGCCCTTTCATTTTTCCTTTACAGTCCCTTTAAAGCAAAATTAAATTGTGGGATCTGTATTAATAATGACAAAAATGAGAACTGAAAAGAATTTTTTCCCATTACATAAAGAAAGAGAGAAAATGGTGGATTTGGCCATATTTCTTGTTTTTAAAAAAATCTACAAATTAGCTTCTTCGTTACCTCGTCTTTTATCTAAACCTACCCCCTTAGGGTTTAACGAAACTAGCTATTGTCCAAAAATAAAAATTCCCAAAATACTATCCTCGACAAAAATTTTCATTTTTAACATATTTTATTTCGTTTAATTGTTCCGGGGAAATACTGATTCGCGTTAAGCCTACACGACAAACTGGCGCCACCGTGGAATGCAGCTTCTAGGTCCGCGGGGACAACAGGTGGTTTAACCGCGTTCATCCTCACACTAGATTTTAGAGAAATCCGCCAGGTTTAGGGAGGAGGGGGAAGGNGAAGTTATGGTTGGGGTTTATTAAACTAATTGTCTAAAAAGGAAGTTATGGTTGGGTTTTACTAAACTAATTGTCTAAAAAGGAAGTTATTGTTGGGGTTTACTAAATTAATTGTCTAAAAATGAACTTATGAATGGGGTTTACTAAACTAATTGTCTAAAGATTACAAAATACAAACAATATCTGTTAGTTTTAAATTAAAACTGACGTCTACTGTTGGTAGAATAAGAATGATATCTGCTGTTGGTAGAATAAAACTGATGTCTACTGTTGGTAGAATAAAACTGATGTCAGCTGTTGGTAGAATAAAACTGATGTCTGCTGTTGGTAGAAAAAAACTGATGTCTGCTGTTGGTAGAATAAAACTGATGTCTGCTGTTGGAAGAATAAAACTGATGTCTACTGTTGGTAGAATAAAACTGATGTCTACTGTTGGTAGAATAAAACTGATGTCTGCTGTTGGTAGAATAAAACTGATGTCTACTGTTGGTAGAATAAAACTGATGTCTACTGTTGAGAAATAAAGAAGAAGTGCGGAGAAACTTTTCATTTAGGAAAAAAACGTAAGCAATAAAAAAAGTTTCTTATTTATAATTTCTTCCCTCAAGTCTTCCTTTTTATTATAATATGTTTTAACTTGATAATTGTTTTTGTACTGCTCTCTTAAGATAAAAATAAAAATATTATATTGTTAGTGTCTATCAAACTTTTTTTTTCTTATTTTGTGCATTTTTTGTTGTAGAGTGGTTTCAGGGGAGAGAAGGTTAAAGTATAATTAAATACACATTCATGAGAAGTGTATGGTTCAGGATTATATATGGAGAAGTGGTCTCCAGTACTCATATCTTAGTACGGAGCAGGTGGGTTCTGGTTTAAGCCCTAGGCTCTCTCCTAGGAATGCGGATAAAAACTAGGCAGTAGTGACCTGCCCGGTAGCCCCCCCCATTAATATATCCATCCTACTAGACATTCATCCATTCACACCACCAGTCATTCATCCATTCATTCTATTTTATATTTAACCTATTCATCCTACTAATTATTCATCCATTTATCATATTCCATATTTGACCTATTCTATACTAGTCAATCACCCATTCATCCTATTTTATATTCGACCTATTTATTCTACTAGTCATTCATCCATTTATCATATTCCATATTTTACCTATTCTATACTAGTCAATCATCCATTCATCCTATTTTATATTCGACCTAATTATCCTACTAGTCATTGATCATATTCTATATTCATCCTATTCCTCTTCAAGTTTTCTACAGTTTACGTAACTAGTTTGTTTATATGTTTTTATTACCCATTTCTCAATGCTACTCCCACTACTCCCACTCAAACATTTCTAGAATTCAAGATTCATATATCTTCTTTACAGGGAGACCCATAAAACTGTGGAATAGGAAGACGACTTTTGAACACAAGTTATGGTTTTTGAATAGATTGTGCAGCACACACAGGCCCATTTTATTTAATTAGTTGATTTAATTAGTTGATTCAAACTACCATGTAAAACTATTTGCTTTATCACAACAACACAAAAAAATTGTCAAAATGTCGTCTTCCTATTCCAAAGTTTAATGAGTCTCACTGTTGTACATTTGCTTGGACCGTTGCTTTTTACTTTACACCAGACAATATACAACTTAGGTTTATGGATCTTCAATAAGACGGAGATAAACGATGAGGATAATTCCTGTTCTCCAGGTAGGATAGTTCCTGTTCTTCAGGTAGGATAGTTCCTGTTCTCCAGGTAGGATGGTTCCTGTTCTTCAGGTAGGATAGTTCCTGTTCTCCAGGTAGGATAGTTCCTGTTCTCCTGGTAGGATAATTCCTGTTCTCCAGGTGCAATAGTTCCTGCTCTCCTGGTAGAATAGTTCCTGTTCTCCAGGTAGAATAGTTCCTGTTCTCCAGGTAGAATAGTTCCTGATCTCCAGGTAGAATAGTTCCTGTTCTCCAGGTAGGATAGTTCCTGTTTTCTTTAGCTTCTGCTTCTGATGAACTTGGTTGAAGATTATTTCTTCTCCGTGCATGATTGATGGGGGGGGTAAGAATCAAAAGGAGATAGATGAGGAGTATTTCTATATATTTAAAGATATATTATATACTTGAATTGGAAAAATGAAAGATTTTATCCTACAGGAAATTGTAGAAATATTTCCTCCATTACAATTTAAGATATTTGCTAGTAAAGCAATATACAATATCTTTAATGTCGATAAATTGAGGTCATTACAGCAAAACATTTACTAAAAATATCGTACTCAATACATTTCTATTTTTATGCACATCAGTTTAAAAAGAAGTCATTTCAAAGAACAAAATTAATTCTGAATCATTTTATCAAATTTTTAAGTAACAATCCATCGGCTGTATGTTATGTAAAATATATTTCCCATGAGACTGTTTAGCGTAACAATAAAGTGCGATAAAGTTGGGGTTTACTGAACTTATTGTCTAAAGATTACAAAATACAAACAATATCTGCTTATAGTTGTAAATTAAAATTTACATTTGTTGTTAGTAGAATAAAAATCATGTCTACTGTTGGGAAATAAAGATGGCTCCGCTCATTGGAAAAATAAGGAACTGCGTCTGATCGTTATAAAGATAAATCAATGAGGTTTGATCGTTTTAAAGATAAAAATGGCGTCAGATCATTAGAAAAAAATGGCGTCTGCACGTGTGAAAAAATGGCGTCAGATCGTTAGAAAAATGGCGTCTGCTCGCGTGAAAAAAATGGCGTCTGCTGATTAGAAAAATAAATGAATGACATCTGATCGTTAAAAAGATAAATTAATAACGTTTAATCGTTTGAAAGATAAAAAGGCCTCAGATCGTCAGATAAATAATTTAATGGCGTCTGCTGTATTCCCGTCAGATAAAAAATTTCATGGCGTCTGCTGTATTCCTGAATAGAATTCTCCGGGTAGAAAACTACTGTCCAGATTCTCTGGTGTAGAGTTAAACAGTGCAGGATTCTAAAAAATTTTAAAAATAGAAAAGAAAAAATTAAATTAATAATTTAAATAATAAAAATTTAATTGGTTGGTTTTGTTAATTAATAGATTTTTTCTTGTTGAAAAATGAAATGCAGAAAACTAAGAAAATTATATTTATGATCTTTTATAATTATTTATTAAAAAATATTATTTTTTTAATAATCTTTTTACCTTATTCTCATTATTTCTACTAGTTTCCTCGGGATGTGTTCCTCCAGTGTTAACCCACCTAAAATAAGGAAAATTTAATGGGATTGTTTATGAAAATTAAAAAGGAGCGTTGGCTAAATGAGAAATAAACCAACTCTATCTCAATTGTCTGTAATGAGAAATTGTCAGAAATGTTTGTCCTGTTCCCTTACAGTTATACTTACAATAGAGAAGCTCAGTAAAATCATGAATTTGGCGCTAAACTCTTTTCAGCTAAAGTTTACATCATTTTACGTTCCTCTAACGCTTTAGTAAATGTAAATTCAAATAGATGTAGCCTGAAGCCAGACCATACAGGCAGCGGAACAGTTCAAACCAGGACCTCCTCGGATGTTCAAATGTACACCGGTTGTACGAGATTTTTATATTAATTCAGAACACTTCTTCCCGGACACTTCCTTTAAAACTATGGATAGATAATTAAGATTTCAGATAGATGACAATTAAAATATCGCAATTTAAAGCCTCTTAATAGTAAGTATATTTTGGGGATCTTTCCCCATTCGGTAAATCCCTTTTTAGTTTCAATGAAATATCAAGTTTGTTAGTATATTATAACAGCATGATGTAATTGATAAAACAATTGAACAACAAATTGTCAATATAACTTTATTCTGCAAACTTTACAGAAGAAAAAGGTCAAATTATTCTAGATTACTCTAGTACGGCTTTGTTACCTCGTAGCTCGTCAAGTTTTGATTTATTTACAATTTACGGCTCCTACTTCGAACAACAACAAATGCATTCAATGTACACAAAACAGTTCATGTGTACACAAAATAGTTCATATGTACACAAAACAGTTCATTTGTACACAAAATAGTTCATATGTACACAAAACAGTTCATATGTACACAAAACAGTTCATATGTACACAAAACAATTCATATGTTCACAAAACTGTTCATATGAACAGAAAACAGTTTATATGTACACAAAACAGTTAATATGTACACAAAACAGTTCATATGTACCTATAACTGTTCATATGAACACAAAACAGTTCATATGTACACAAAACAGTTCATATGTACCCAAAACTGTTCATATGAACACAAAACAGTTCATATGTACACAAAACTGTTCATTTGTACACAAAACAGTTCATATGTACACAAAACAGTTCATATGTACACAAAACAGTTCATATGTACACAAAACAGTTCATATGTACACAAAACAGTTCATATGTACACACAACAGTTCATATGTACCCAAAACTGTTCATATGAACACAAAACAGTTTATGTGTACACAAAACATTTTATATGTACACAAAACATTTTATATGTACACAAAACAGTTCATATGTACACAAAACAGTTCATATGTAGACAAAACTGTTCATATGTACACAAAACAGTTCATATGTACACAAAACAGTTCATATGAACACAAAACATTTTATATGTACACAAAACATTTTATATGTACACAAAACATTTTATATGTACACAAAACATTTTATATGTACACAAAACAGTTCATATGTACACAAAACATTTTATATGTACACAAAACACTGCTAAAAGGTCATCTATAGTTTATTGTTCAAGGCAAATTCTTCAACAGTAAAAGCATTGTTATAAGAGTATCTTTAAGATTGAAGGTTCTCTTAAACTTATTTGAAATTAATTTAAACTTTTTGTTACTGGAAGCAACCAATTGAGTGTAGTATAATCGTTATCATGCTCGTATGTTAATATTTTTTTATGTATGGAATAAATCTTCAGTTGTTTAATTCTAAGCTTAGAATATCAATTTTTGACAATGTGCCTAAAAAGTTACATTTTGCGTAAAACAAATTGCGCAAAACTAAAATTTCGTTTCATGCGCAAATTTTCGCAAAAAATATTTCCGGTTTTGCGCAAATTTCGCAAAAAAAAAATAGCGCTAAACCGCGCAAAACTCATTGCGTTTCATGTGCAAAAATAGCGCAAAAGTTCGCAAAAGATCTAGCCATTTCGTGGAAACCCTAATAATCATAAAATCATAATTTAATACCAAGCGTGAATAAAAGGCGGGAGTAACTCTTAACCATAAACCTGGACAACAAGTTCTATACAGAGCGTCCCATATCATATTAGATTATCTCCAAGCTTTAACGCCAAAATAAAATCATAATACTCGAAAAAAAAGGATTTTCCGCAATATATTAGCATTATTCAATTTTTTAAAATAATAAATTCTTCTTAAATTTTAAGATTAGTCCCGAAAATCAAATTTAGACCGATTGACGATCTAATATGATGTGGGATACCCTGTATGGTATTTCATTTGTGCAAAAATGTCAAAACTCCATTTATCGGAATTTTTTTAAATGAAAAAAGATCTTTAAGAAAAAAATGCGAAAATCCATTCATTGATCAAATGCATGCAATTCAATACCCGGATCAAGTCTAAATAAGATAATAAAATAAATAAATAAAATTCAAAGATAGAGCCAACTAATTCTTACACTTTTTGTCTCATAATAAAAAAAACTAACATTGTCATCAGGAATTGAGTTTTTGCCTCATACTCAAATTTTCTAATCCCCATATCTTTGCAACCCGATGGTGTAAAACTTCGCTATTTTATGGAGTACAAGGAGCTAAATATAGATCTGATCTTTCTTCACTCACCCTTACCTCATGGTACCCATAGGAGTACTAGGAGCTGAATATAGATCTGATCCTTCTCCTTTCATCCTCTCAACCTTCCTGTTCTTCATCGTAGAACTTGTTCTTCTCGGCTCTTCTACAGATACAGTTCGCTGAAACCTGCAGCAAAGAGCTATCAATTGTCAACTATTCCAACTAATCAACTATCAACTATTAACTATCAACTATTAACTATCTACTATCAACCATCAACTATCAACTATCAACTATTAACTATTAATCATCAACCATCAACTACCAACTATCAACTATCAACTATCAACTATCAACTATCATCTATCAACTATCAACTATCAACTATCAACTATCAACTATCAACTATCAACTATCAACTATCAACTATCAACTATCAACTATCAACTATCAACTAGCAATTTCAACTTAAAACTGGCAACGTCAGCAATTAAAAGACAAAAACATTTGCAAATCGAACTTCAAGATTTGACATCGAAAAAAACTAAAACCAAATCAAGCTGGAGTTTTATTAAAATCCTTGTCAGAAACATATGAATTAAAAAGTTAAATGAAAAATAAAACAGCTAAAAAAGCGTGTATGAAATTTTAAAAAAATATGTAAATAAAGACATTTAATAAAAGAAAACGCATTTTAAACATTTAAAAGACACTTTGTCACTTTCACAAAATTGCCATGGATACGAATAATTATAACAATGAAAAAATAAATTTTATAATTGTACTTTTTCAAAAAGACTGTTCCATTAGTGTGAACGATTGAGAAGACTGATTTTGTTGAAAAGAAAAAAATAAAAGTAGAAAATGGAATTTAAATTTTAACTCTCCTGTAAATTTGGCCTGAATAGATAGAAGTACTTTGCCCCGTCTAGTAATGTATATTGTTACAGCCAGTGTTAGAAACTTCTTCTAGAATTTTCTATTCAATATTACAACCCACAGGGTTAATATCTTGGAATATAGTTAGACTATACAATATACAGAATAATACAACCCACAGGGTTAATATCTTGGAATATAGTTAGACTATACAATATACAGGATAATACAACCCACAGGGTTAATATCTTGGAATAATGTTAGACTATACAATAAACATTATACAGGATGAGACCAACATTTTCAAATTGAGTTAGTTACAAGTTTAAAGGGCAGGAATTTTTGTAAAAAGTTCATGTATAAAAAGGCGCTTTAAATTGCACCCTGCGACCGACGGATTTCCCGACGCTCTAGCACCCTCGTACGTGAAGCTATCCGACTGGAACAGCAGAGAACGCGCATTTTCACAAGATTTTTCCCCCCCGTGACGAATACCAGGCTTTATGTAGAATGTGGCTTATTATCGATATTTTTGTGTATTTCAAAAAAACTATTTTCCATTCTAACCATCCCTAAACCTTTTCTGGGATCATGTGAGGTTCCATACAAAATTTGGGCCCAATCGGTTTAGCTGTTTTTTCGCATATCGATCACAAACAAACAAACGGGCAAAACGACAAGCAATGTATATATATAGATTAGCTAACTCCAATCTATTTGGTCATATTTAAGGAAAATTACTGGCACAAATTTGTAACTTTCTGTTCTATTCTAAATTTTTTCTTCTTTTCAACGGCTCTTCAGAAAAGGTTGAAATGATGAAAAACATTTAAGTTTTTTTATCTGACGTCGAATCTAATTTATTTTGACGTTATGTAAAGGGACTGTATATTTACTTTCAATTGCCCCTCCATTTAAAGAGGGACATGTTCGATTCTTAACGGTAACCTCAAAACCTTTATATTATCAATAATGTGCAGCAGATAAAGTCGCGTTTTTCATCTCAAAAAGTTTTTGATTTTGTTTATTTCTCAATGGTTTTCCTGCAGTAGAAATGCATGTTCAAGTCACTTTTGTAGAGAAACCACAATTACAAATAATCGGTTTTCAAAATTATAAACATGGATATTCAATACCTACTTGATAAGACTAAGCTTAGGAGGGTGCCACGAATGCTTTGCCATCTTTACATGGAGGGTCACTTGAAATTACACGTACAGTCCCTTTAAACAATTTTTACCTAGATTCTAATCTGAGTGAGCCTGGTCTAGATTGTGGTTCACTTCTCTTCTCCTCATCCTGGTCTATCCGTCCTACTGAAGTTCTCCAGTACTTGGAGTCATCCGTCTTTAGATCCGTCCTAGAATATCTATTTTTAGATCGATCCTCAGAACTTTATATAGTCCTGGTCTATCCGTCCAACTGCAGCTCTCCCGTACTTGGAGTCATCCGTCCTGAGAACTATAGGAGCTCATATTTTACTAGATCCGTCCTAAAATCATAGGATTACTTCTGTTAATAAATCCGTCCTATAAAACCTATAGGTATACTTTTATAACTAGATCCGTCCTAAAACCATTGCAAAACTTCTATTACTACATGCGTCCTAAAACTATAGGAAAACTTCTATTACTAGATGCGTCCCAAAACCATAAGATTATTTCTATTACTAGATGCGTCTTAAAACTATAGGAAAACTTCTATTACTAGATCCGTCCTAAAACCATTACAAAAATTCTATTACTACATGCGTCCTAAAACTATAGGAAAACTTCTATTACTACATGCGTCCTAAAACTATAGGAATACTTCTATTACTAGATGCGTCTTAAAACTATAGGTATACATCTATTACTAGGTGCGTCTTAAAACTATAGGAATACTTCTATTACTAGATCCGTCCCAGAACCAAAGGANTGTATCCTGTATCCTGTATCCTGTATCCTGTATCCTGTATCCTGTATCCTGTATCCTGTATCCTGTATCCTGTATCCTGTATCCTGTATCCTGTATCCTGTATCCTGTATCCTGTATCCTGTATCCTGTATCCTGTATCCTGTATCCTGTATCCTGTATCCTGTATCCTGTATCCTGTATCCTGTATCCTGTATCCTGTATCCTGTATCCTGTATCCTGTATCCTGTATCCTGTATCCTGTATCCTGTATCCTGTATCCTGTATCCTGTATCCTGTATCCTGTATCCTGTATCCTGTATCCTGTATCCTGTATCCTGTATCCTGTATCCTGTATCCTGTATCCTGTATCCTGTATCCTGTATCCTGTATCCTGTATCCTGTATCCTGTATCCTGTATCCTGTATCCTGTATCCTGTATCCTGTATCCTGTATCCTGTATCCTGTATCCTGTATCCTGTATCCTGTATCCTGTATCCTGTATCCTGTATCCTGTATCCTGTATCCTGTATCCTGTATCCTGTATCCTGTATCCTGTATCCTGTATCCTGTATCCTGTATCCTGTATCCTGTATCCTGTATCCTGTATCCTGTATCCTGTATCCTGTATCCTGTATCCTGTATCCTGTATCCTGTATCCTGTATCCTGTATCCTGTATCCTGTATCCTGTATCCTGAATCCTGAATCCTGTATCCCGTATCTTATATCCTGTGTCATAGTAACTAACAAAGGTTAACCAGAAGAAAATATCAGAAACCCGATAAACGTTTACTTTATTGTACTTTAATCCACTTAGAACAAAATATATTTTCTGAATTATAAGAACATTGATGTTCATGTAAACTGATCAAAAGACAACAAAAAAAGCATAAATCCCTAAATAATTTTCTCGAAGGCTAATTAATAATTTTTCTATATGACACTTAAAGTCCTGCTTGTTTAGAGCTTTTCATCCCATAATATTATCGTTTACAGCCGTGGATATCCAAATTTTGAATTTTTAAAGTAAGTTGTTCTTCCTAACTTTAGCTTTAAAGAAGTAATTTTGAATATCCAGATGAATCCTTGCGACAGAACATGAATATTTGAGCTTTTTACTCTTTTAATTTAGCTGCAGTGGCTATATGACGTCACTATGCTGTGATAAAACCATTTACTCGAAAATCAATTTTGTTTTTGAATGAAATGAGTTTGTGATTAAGTATTATATTACCCAATCTGTAACAGTCGTCTTCCTATCCCACTGTTTAAGGGTGTCACCAAATAGACAATTTTAAAATTTTATAAATGTACATCTTTTGCTTTTATTACGTTATACAATATTTTGACTCTATCAGAAGTAGATGCATGTATGGATAAAATAAAACAAAGACTAAAATATTTGAAACTGCTGTTTTACAAGTAATTAGCTTGGGAACCCAGCATGGAAACTAAACTACATTTATGGAATTCAACCCACTTAATTTAGAATTTTAAACTTTTTTAACAATCCCGTTGATCGTTATACGAGATCCCCAATCCAATTTTGAAGCAAATCGGAGTTCATACCTTTTGATAAGACATACCAACAGACAGACAGACAGAGATTACTACTTTATATATTTGTAATGATTTACCTGTTAAATGTAGCATATTGAGGTTCTTTAGTTTGCTCAAGCCTATAACTTTGCTCAATCTTCTCAATCCTCTCTTCATCCTGGCTCAATCCGTCCCTGTTCTGGGTACGAAAATATTTTTTTTAAATTCATAAAGTTTTTTTTCTTAATAATTTCTTAGATCTAAAGATTTTTTTTCCTTCTTTTAATATTTTTTTTAGATCTGAAGGGAAATATTATAAAAAAGATAAAAGTATGCCTGGTGTACCTGGTATCCTGCTATACTGGAGATATTGTGTGGAAGAGTCAAGGACTTTCTGTATTCAATATTTTTACTTTTCACTCATATTTTGGGACAGTTTCGTTGAAAACTCAATTTTTGTATTTTTGTATTTTTGTATTTGTGTATATTTGTATTTTTGTATTTTGTATTTTTGTATTTTTGTATCTTTGTATTTTTGTATTTTTGTATTTTTTTATTTTTTTAATTTTTATTTTTTTCATTCTTTAAAAATTTGGCTACTTTTGTATTTATCTGTTTTCTGGCTACTTTTGTATTTATCTGTTTTATGGCTACTTTTGTATTTATCTGTTTTATGGCTTCTTTTGTATGTATCTGTTTTCTGGCTACTTTTGTATGTAACTATATCAATTGTTTCAAGGGTTTTGATACTTTTTCCTTAACTTAGCTTTAATTTTAAAAAGGTATTAAACAATTTAAAATTTATTACTTTCCATAAATTATTCATTGTTCTGTAAAAGTTTTCTTTAAAACTTATATTAAACGAAGAAAATGTTCCCCCAAAGCAAACATAGTTGATTAAAAATGTAATATATCATCTTACCTTAAATTATAAAGAAACAAAAAGAAATTATATCCCGACATTTCATAATTCCAGTGGAGGTAAAACTTAAAGCTTCTAATTTCAGAATTATAGTTTTTGTTACCCAAGGCCGCTTCTTAATCAAAGATTTGGAAATGGTTCCTTGAAAAAAGTGTCTTTTCTGATTTATCTTTGAAAACTTTCAAGATTATTGTGAAAAGAAAATTCCCTGATTGTTGCGAATCTGGTTGGTACGGGAGGGGGAGGAGGACGGAAAGGAGATGAAGACAGATCTTGTCTTCTCTCCATCCTTTCTCTAGGTCCTACACATCTAGCGTAGAGAGGTTCCGGAGTAGGTTTCTCCTTGACGTAAACCCTCTTCATACAACCATATATATCCTGCTGTACTGCAGCTCCTACCGGAGCAGGACGGATACAAGGATCCTGCTCCATACTCTGTCTTCTTCCAGGATCTTTATCCTGTAAACCCATCAGATCCGTCCCAGAGTCAGCTGAGCAGTTCGAGGCGTTAGAGTTGAGACGGTTCGAATGGTTTGTTGATGATGAGGCTACAGAGGACGCAGAGGTTTCTGCATATGTATCCGAAGATCTACCGGAGTCTACGGAGATGTATGAGCTGCGGATATCTTGAGGCTGGAGGTTGGTTTGCTGGCTCAGCTGGAGGAGAGATCTTTCAATATTCTGGAGTTTAACAAGAGCATCATCAACCTTCTCCTCGTCAACCTGAATAGGATCATACTTCTGCTCCTTGTCAAACCTATAGTAGTGCCCTTCCTGAAGCAGGTTGGAGATAGGTTGGTCATCTGGAGGGGAGGGGAAGGGGGGCGGGGAGGGTGACTCCTCAACCCTTCTCATATCACAGGGAATGTGTGTATCCACAAAATCACCAGTTTCAATAGGTTCAAATCTATCCATCATACTTTTACTCTTCTCCAAAACCTTTCTCCGTCCTCTATCCTGTTTCTCCGGTTTAGCCGGAGAAACGTTCTTCCCTCCTCCGTCTCCGTTCTTGAACAAGAAGGAGAGAGGATTTAGTTTTGCTCTTGTTCCTGTTTGTTTCTTCTTATCACTGTTTAGTTTAATGGAACTATGTATATTAAGATGAATATTCTTGGCATCCTCGGAGTAGAACGTGAATACTCCTTGTCCAATAGATTTACTCCGTCTGAAACATTTACCAGTACAGGGTGTCTCAATAATCATGGGAACTGAGTGACGATTTCGATATCGTCTTTTTAAATAATTTTTTGATTTAGTATATGGTGATACCTACTGAGAAAGCTCTATTCCGTAGGATTTGGTAGGATTTTTGTCTGTTATGTTTACAATTTGTTTGTTTATGTTTTGACTGCATACTGTTGTACTTAGTAAAACAAGAAAATTGCAAAATACAATATAAACAGTATATTACATGTCCGTCTTCATTGTTCATCTTGCAGAGAGATTAGAGACACATCATTACAGACATTTACCGTTTTCATAAAATAAACACTAGCAGACATAATTCGATTATGACTTTGAAATCAGGTCTATGCTAAATCTTAACAAAGACGATCTCGAATTGGTCACTCAATTCCTATGTTTATTGGGACACCCTATCGATGTATGGAGGGGGGGGGGGATGAAGAGGGGTTCATTCGGCAAAATACGGAATTAAAAGTTTTAAAAAAATGAAACCCCAAAATTTGCAGTTTTTGTATGGGAAAGGGCTGAAAAAATAAACAATTCACTAAAAAACCAATCAAATATCAATCTGAACTAAAAAATATACAAGAAAATTTTTTTTGGATGGAGAAAAACTACTCTGAAATATCTGGCTCCTTTATAAATAGTTTTTGTGTTCTCTTTTTCTTACCTTTTTGTAATAATAACCAGTATTTTGTCCCTGTCTTTCTTGCAGATAGTTTTAGGACAGAATACACGGTGTACACTGTACAGGCACCATCGAACCTACAATACGGTACATCACATAAAACAGTAATAAAAAATTATGTAAACAATTAGCATCAAAATGTATTAACAAACATAAAGTGAACCTTAATTTAATAAAAAGTAGAAAGAAAAAAAATTTGTTTTTCAATCAATGAACCCATAGAGAATAGAATATATATTAGAGAGGAATTTAAAGAATCTCTCGGTATGAATTTTTGTCAGTCCCTTTAAGCCTGAAAGGGAGTTCAAAGTGTACAAATCATGTAAATGTTTACAAATTATATGCAGTAGAGTACATTAATACAGTATGTTCCCTAGACTATTCATTTGAATTTCGAAATTTTTAAACTGTTAAATAAACTTTATAATGAATTAGGTGAATAAAAAACATCATTTGATTTATAGTTATAACGGAAAATCATCGTTTGTAAAGTGGAAGGCATAGAGTCTATGTGAAATGATCATTGGTCAATTATGAAACCAGCATATTTCATAATTTGGTTTTCTTTTAACAATAATTTTAGATTTTCTATAAAATGATATTCCAGGGCCCAAAAGGTTATATAGCATAAATATGTGAAGTACACCTGCAGTATGGAAACAGTACAACAAAATGGCCGTTTTACACTTTTTTCTAGTAAATTCCCCTCTAATATATATTCTATTCTCTATGTTTGAACCTCTATTCTAAAATACTTGTTTTACAACATTGCATTATTATTTCTTTTCTTTTATAGAATTTTGCGTTGAAGATGTAAACAAAATTTGTTACAGAAGTTTAAAAGTTTTATTTTCTTTCTTGAAACGATATATTGATGTGGAAATTTTGAAGAGTGTTTATATTAAAGATTGATGCTTTAAAGTGTAGTTGATACTAAAAATATACCCTCCCCTAGTCCCTCCCTCCCCTCCCCTCTCTCCCCTAGTCCCTCCCCTCCCTCCCTTGTACAAACATTGGCGTGTAGAATATTTTGCTGACCGTTGAGAAGAAAATTGAGTTGGTTTAACACAACAATATTCTTTAGTTCAAGCTACATCAATAACATCCTTTATAAGGACTGTACGCGTGATTTCAAGAGACCCTAAATGTAACTAAGGCAATCTTCGATTTACAACGGTACCCATTCAACCTTTGACTGACTAACGAGGCGTGCCTAAGGAGTAAGAACTTTGTGTTTTTATCTCTCAAATAGTGTTCGAATTGTGGTAAAACTGTGTCCAAACCGAGTTAAAAAAAATTTAATGTGTAAAATTAAGTTTATGTGACTTCTAGAAAGAAGATATTAATATATCATAATTTCAAATCAAGTGTTTAACAATTACATGAGCATCTGTCGATTAATAAGAATATCCTTGATCCATCAAAGTTTTAAAGGACACTGTTGTTAACAAAGAGAATAGAATATATAAAGAGTGCAATTTAGACAATCTCTAGACTATCGATTTCAATTTCGAATTTTTTAAAGCTGTTAAAAAAACTTTATAAAATGAATTAGGTGAATAAAAAACATCATTTGATTTATAGTTATAGCGGAAAATCATCGTTTGTAAATTGAAAGGCATAGAGTCTATGTGAAATGATCATTTGTCAATTATAAAACCAGCCTATTTCATAATTTGGTTTTCTTTTCATTAATTTTAGATTTTCTATAAAATGATATTCCAGGGCCCAAAAGGTTATATAGCACAAATATGTGAAGTACACCTGCAGTATGGAAACAGTTCAACAAAATGGCCGTTTTGCACTTTTTTCTAGTGAATTCCACTACAATATACATTCTATTCTCTTTGGTTGTGAATCGAATATGCCACTCTAAAAATGGAGGGTTACTTAAAATTACGCCTACATTCCCTTTATTCAGAGGTTTCCTTGTCTTGTCTCCCTTTTTCCTTCGCCCCTAGGGCCCTACTGCTTATGGTAGGGGAGGGGTGTGTTTAATTAGTTGTTGGGCGCCCATTATAAAATCTATTAAATTAAAACCTTTTTTTTCTTTTTAAATTAAAATTCAAAATTAGGATTTTACAGATAAATCAGGAAAAAAACTATTTGTTTTCCCAAGTTTCTAAATGTTTAAACTATAATTTAGTTTCTGGTGTTTAAGTGGATGATTTGAAGTTTACTGCAGAGTGTGGCAAGTCATGATGGGGGTTCACTGTAAAACATTTTCTCATTTACAAACTTGGAAGATTTTGCAACCTTGCTGAATTTTAATGGAGCATATTTGTTTTGATGCACATAACTTTCATCAGCTTTTAAACTTTATGAAACATTGTTTTTTTTTAGAGATTATTAAATTGTGTATAACAATACATATAAATGTAATGTTCTCTACTTACATTAAAAAAAACAGAACATAAAAACATTGCAATAAGAACAGTAAACAAAGAACATTACATAAAGAACTGTACACAAATAACCGTAAAAAAAGAACTGTACATAAAAGAACAGTACACTAAGAACAGTACACTAAGAACAGTACACAAAGAACAGTGTAAAAAGAACAGTATACAAAGAACAGTACACAAATAATAGTAAATCAAGAACTGTACATAAAAAACAGTACACACACCTGCTCAGCTCCTGATCTTTCCTCTACAAGAACTATATCTCCATCCTCCCTATATAATAATAATTGTACTTGTGAACAATATATTATTAGTATTGTTATCAAGTAGTTTATAGTTCCCTGCTATCTATGCATATTATGACCGGTTATAAATCAAGTGTACATAAATACAAAATATGCATAAATAAAAGATTATAATATTCATCATCCAGATTAGTCCTTAGAACCTCCTGGGCCAACATATACTTTAGTTTAAAGGGAATGTTCGCGAAAAATGAGAGGGGTTATAGAATTACGGCTAAAAATAAGCGCTTTTGATTGCTACTAATCTTACTTCTTTTCTGTTGCGCCTATAGGGAAAAAACTGTTAAAAACGAATCATGCTGAAGAACATAGCTCGGATCGTAAAAAAATCAATTTAATTCCAAACAAATCACTAAGATATTAAAGCCAATAGTCATCGATTATTTTTCGACGCATTCATATATAGTTCATATTTCATAATATTTTTGATTTTGTTTTTTTAGATAATATTTCGCTGGCGCTAGATTTTCGAACATTCCTGGAAAATATGAAAATGTCGTCTTCATTATCAAAAATCCTCGAAACAGTAATAAATGTTTTCAAAAATAACTAACAGATCATAAAATAAATGGTTTGGAAAAGAGAGAAACAAGTTTGCAGTTGCAGGGAACCATAACGCATTAGGAAACAGACATTATATATTCCGTTACGTTATCCCTGAAGTCTCATTCTTTGTGTATAACCCTGTACCTATCTAAATGAAGTTCTCCGTAGAACCCTCTAAGCCTGGCAACATCACTGTGAATATTGTCTATCAAAGAAACCTGGACACCTGAAGAAAAAATAAAAAATAAAAATAATTATTCTGATTTACACTGAACTGGGTGTAACCTACAGCATGTTGGTAAATACAGTTATTAAATAAAATCCAGTAAATATTAAAAACTCTGAGTCTTTAATATCATTTTAACTTAAAATTGAGAGAGAAATTTAAATAGTCTATAGTTAATTAATTAAAGAAATGAAAACTATTTTGTCAGTTCTCAAATAATAAATTTTGAAGAAAGGAAAGTGGAACCTAACAACCCTTAAACAAACCAACAAACTTCCTCTTTATCTATTCCAGCTTATTCAACTACTATCCGAAATCAAAGACGAGCTCTGTATAATATAAAGATATTATTCATTTAAAATTTTGTTATACCTGGAGGACATGAAACTAATATATACCTGGAGGACATGAAACTAATCTATACCTGGAGGACATGAAACTAATATATACCTAGAGGACATGAAACTAATATATAGCTGGAGGACATGAAACTAATCTATACCTGGAGGACATGAAACTTATATATACCTGGAGGACATGAAACTAATCTATACCTGAAGGACATGAAACTAATATATACCTGGAGGACATGAAACTAATCTATACCTGGAGTACATGAAACTAATCTATACCTGGAGGACATGAAATTAATATATACTAGAGGATATGAAACTAATGTATACCTGGAGGACATGAAACTAATATATACCTGGAGGACATGAAACTAATATATACCTGGAGGACATGAAACTAATCTAGGTTTCCAGATCCTGGATCTGATACTCCTGATCCAATCCTGGCTTTCAGTCTCAGAGCTACCAGCAGCTATCAGCTCTCCTGATAAAAACCAAAAATGTAACTATTTTGTAAACCAAAAACGTAACTATTTTGTAAACCAAAAACGTATCCATTTTTATTAAGAATATAACCATTTTGTCAACCAAAATATGACCATTTTTGTCTAAAGTTTAACCATTTAATTATTTTTAGGTTTAATAAAGCCGTTATTAAATTCATTCTTTTTAATATAAATTCATCCAATACAAAATTATTTCATAATCCCATTACATCACTTTTTCCAATTCTCAAAATGATGATTTTCTAATTTTTTGTTCATTGACGTCAAGTATCTAATTGATTTGTATACTCCCCATTGTTCCTTTTTTATCAGTCTGGACTCAAATCATCATCGTATTTACTTTTTGTTTTCTACTCCATGAATTGGTTGATTTTCGTCCTAATTTTCTGGTGATTATCTTAAACTTCTATCAATCTCAACAGTATCTGGTTGGATTTCTTCATGGTTGAGTGCAACCCTATGTGAGTTGATTTCAACACTAACTAGGTTGATTCTAACACTGTCTGGGCTGATTTCAACAAGATGGGTTGATTTTAACTCTATCTGGGTTGATTTCAACACCGGCTGGGTTGATTTCAACACTATATTGGTTGATTTCATAACTATCTAGGTTGATTTCAACACTTCTTGGGTTGATTGCAACACTATCTGGGTTGATTTTAACACTAACTGGGTTGATTGCAACACTATCTGGGTTGATTTTAACACTAACTGGGTTGATTGCAACACTATCTGGGTTGATTTACACTAACTGGGTTGATTGCAACATTATCTGGGTTGATTTCAACACTGTCTGGGTTGATTTTAACACTAACTGGGTTGATTGCAACACTATCTGGGTTGATTTTAACACTAACTGGGTTGATTGCAACACTATCTGGGTTGATTTCAACACTATCTGGGTTGATTTCAACACTGTCTGGGTTGATTGCAACACTATCTGGGTTGATTTCAACACTGTCTGGGTTGATTTCAACACTGTCTGGGTTGATTTTAACACTGACTGGGATGATTTCAACAGTGACTGGGTTGATTTCAACACTATCTGAGTTGACTGCAACACTATCTGGGTTGATTTCAACATTGCCTGAGTTGATTTCAACACTGTCTGGGTTGATTTCAATATTACGTCAATTGATTTTAACACTGTCTAGGTTGATTTTAACACTGTCTAGGTTGATTTTAATACTGTCTAGGTTGATTTTAACACTACGTGGGTTGATTTTAATATTAATAGTGCTTAGATTTCAGCCTTTTCTCCCCTTAATAATACCTTTAATATTATATTGTTGGAAGCTTGTAATATCTGGATTGATTTTAACACAATTTTTTAATTACAACATGTTTTTGGAAACAGTTTTTAAGCCGTTTTTGGCAAAATTATAATCGATTTTTGCGTATGAGCATTTAACATTATTTTTAACATTTTTATACAATTTTTCAAAACATTTTTTAACTTTAAATTTTTAAATTATAATGCACAAAAAAAATAAAAATATTCTATCATGATTTTTCTTATCATTATATTTTTCCTCCTTCATTTAACCCTATTCCTGCTGGGGGGGGACCCCCCCCCTGTAGTTTTTTTACGTAACTCAAAAAGTATTGGTCTAAGGCTGTAAAAATTTTCTGACTTTTCCTACATACCCAAAGCCCTGCCTTTAGGCCTAAAACCAGGCTTTTATACTAACTGCCTGAGTCCTCAGGCACACTGCCTGAATGACTGCTTTTTCCTGTAACAAACTAAATCTTTGTTTTGACCCACTTTCACTTGTCAGATTTTGATAAAATTTAGCTTTTTGGAAAGCCTATGACATAAGGAAACAGATTGCACAAGTTTTGCGAGAAAAAAAATTGCAAATTTTTTGCAAACAACCTGTCACAGGAAATTTGCACATTTTTAGTTTTTCTTGATTACAAATCAGGTGATTTAAAATTTTGCAAAATTTTTTGCATATTTGAAATCGCATGGTCAAGGGCTTCTCAAAAATGTATAATTTTTCATTTTTTGGACAAATTTTTTTTTGCAAACATTTTTGCTATATAACTGGATTTTGCGATAAAAAATTCAATTTTTGGAAATTTGCAAATTTTTTTTGCAGATTCTTAAAGTAGAGCACAAGAGCTTTCCAATGATGTAAAATTTGTCATATTTGGACATCAAACATGGGATTTAGAGGGGGGGGGTCAAATTGACCCCCCCCCAGCATATCCTGGTTTTCAAGTACCCCAGCAGGGATAGGGTTAAGCTTGCTCGCAATCTTTTGATCACGCAATGTGGTAATTTTTTTTTACCTGAACTACCATCAACAGAAAATGCATACGGTTGAGATCTAAAAAACACATAGATTATCTTTTTATAATTTAAATAATGTCATTTAAGAACAATTTCTTAAATAATAATCTTAAATCACAGATTCAGAGTTAAAGCTTCATGAGGATTTGAATCGGTGGTTCAGGATTTGAACCGAAGGTCGGTAGATCAGCAACCTCTTTTTTTTCTTTTTTTTTATAAAATTCTGTTCAAGTGTTGATTCCAACCACGTTGTTTTTTACATTATTTAACTGATGGGCTGATTACTAAATTCTCTGTGTTCATTTAAGATTATTTGGATTGAATTTAACTAAATTATTTAAATTAGGGTTACCATGTTTGATTCAATTTCAAAAAAGTTTGATCAAATTTTGTTCAAATTTTTTTTTAATAATAATAAAGAATAGACTAAAATGTTAATTCTCAAAAAACTAGCCTAGATGCAAAAACGCACAACTTTTACTATTACTATGTATGCGGTAAGTTTTTACGGAATGATGTGCAACATTTGTATTCTTCTCCTAATATCCATTACAACAGAAACATTGGAAAAGAATGTGCTGTCCTACCAATATTATTTTTTTGTGGCATGCAACAAGATAAATTTGAATTTGTTCACATTTTTGCACTATTTTTTTGCGAATTGAAACCTTAATTTGAATACTATCTAGGTTGATTTAGAAAATATTGCGTTTTTAAAACAGCCTGATCTAAAACTTTTGTATAATTTTCAATTTTTAAATAGTTCGTTTTAATCTATTTGAGTGTATGTTGGGTGTTGCATGTTGCCGGCTCCAATTCAAATTATTGAAATTACTAAATTTAATCAGGGATGTGTGTGCTTTAGTGCAAAACTATACTTTTTTATCTATTTGTAAAACCTTCATTTTACAGGTTTATTTGATATAAACTAGTGCACATATTTTACACTTTAATTCATCCTTCATACACAACACCAAATAGGTTACATCTGACACATCTTATACAGGGTTACCAACTAAGGACGAGACTTCAAAGACGACCATACGGAATTTATAATGTCTGTTTCCTTATATTCATAATTCCCTGCAACTGCAAAGGAATTGAGTCTTTGTCACAAAATCTGCTTTTCTAAACCATATATCTTTGGATTCCAATGTCGTAGACCTTAGATATTTCAAACTATGAATTCTTTTAGATCAAATAATATATAAGTTTGAAATATCAAAGATTTACGACATTGGGTTTTTAAAGATATGGGGATTATAAATTCAGAGTTTGATGCAAAGACTCAATTCCTTTGCTTCTATCTTTATCCAATCATTTAATAAGCAATTTACTAAGTATAGTTAAGGTATAAGAATTAATTTAACCTATAGATCGTCATATTTCAAGAGTTTCAGTTTGCCTGTAGAGTCTAATCCTTTGTGGGTAACCCTGTACATAATGAAAAGCGACGATATGTTATGCGTTGATGTATGCCGCCCAATTCTTAACGCTGAAAGACATATAACAGAAAGTTTTTTTTTAAATGATACATTTGCCACACCTTCTGCATTGGTAACGAAGGATAGGTGCATATGTCTTGTATTTTAGATAAACCGTTGCGACGAAGGAGGTCGTCTTTTTGCGGCGTATTGGACAAGTTTTGAAATTTTAGAAGAAAACCTGAGGTAAAACAGCCACACGCTAGACAATTGTACAATGGGAAACTGCATAAAGGAATTGAGTATTTGTCACAAACTCTGATTTATTAATCCCTATATCTTCACAACCCAGTGTCGTAGACCTTAGTTATTTCAAACCATGAATTCTTATGGATCAAATAATCTAAGTTTGAAATATCAAAGGTTTACATTATCTGGTTGTAGAGGTGTATAGATTTTAGAAAGTTTGAGTTTGTGGCAAAGACTCAATTGCTTTAAAAGTAATCGGCCACGGCCACAGTGTTGGTAAATCTACGAAACAGCTTTTACAATTTACAATTTTACAGTTTTTTTCTATTCTTCTTTCTAATCCGAATAAACACTTATATATTAAGGTCCAATTGTTAACCCTTCCCTTTTATAAAGGAATGTCATTTACTCTCAGAATTAGTTGAGGAGGGATTTAATGATATATACATTGTACTGTTGTACGTGTATATGACAGTTTCAAACGAAAAAAGATGTATGGTGAAAAGGAAAAAGCACCACAAACTTTTTTTACATTTAAGTGTACTGCAGGTTCTATCTGAAATATAAACTCGGCTAAACCAATTTCCAACAATTCTTGGTCTTTTCAAGAAACTAAAATAAAGTTTTTGTTTAATTAATATTTCTGGTTTATTTTTATTGTGTCCTGTAGATACATATTATTTTGCTGTGATGCATTGTACTGTACTGTACTGTGGTGTACTGAAATATATCGTACTGAACTAATTTGTACAACACTGTATTGTTTTGTACTGCACTGTATTGTTTTGTTCTGTACTGTATTGGTCCGTACTGTACTGCATTGTTATGTACTGCACTGTTCTGTAGATGAACTGTAATGTACCTGGATTGTATTCTATGTAACGCATGTATCTCAAGAACCTGTATACACTGTACTGCAGGACCTCTGTGTACATAAAGATGAACAAATAAAAAAACTCAATTTACGCTCTATTGATTTTAAATAATGGCGATTCCTTTTAATATAAACAGATTTTAATTCGTAAAAAAAGGGGTTTTAAGTTCAAATGTAGTTTAAACAGAGTTACATTTTAATTTAAGTGTAGAACAATTGTATTATCTTTAAATACTATCAAAATAGTTGATTAAAATAAAATAAATATGGTGGTTCAATTAAAACTCCGAGGTAAATGGCGGGTTTGCGAAAGAAAAACAAAGAAAATAGTGGTTCTTTAGTTAAATTCCAGTTTTATGAAAACATCAAAGAATTCCGTGAGAAAGAGATTTTACATTAAAAACTTTGTGGAAAAACAATATGTTGGAGCAATGAAAACTTGTTTGTGACAAAAACATCAAACAGAAAAAAATGTTCTAAACAACCAACTTTTAAACGAACAAAAGGGGCGTGAGATTTTCTAAGACTGCAATTTATCTTCTTTGAACTTCAAGTTATTCAGTCACTTTAATTTTTCTTTACAGTCCCTTTAACATGTGTATTTAAATGAACGTAATCATGATTTTGATTTAAATTATAAAAAGTTTGTTCATTATTCCTGTTTTCGTGAACATGAGATGTATATATTCTAACCAGGACACTAGCTACCCCCTCCCTCTCCCCTCTCCCATCCCTGATCTCCTCCTCCTCCCCCTCCCTCTCCTCCCGCCAGGGGAACTCCATCACCAGCCACCTCTTCCTCCAGGCCAACTAGAATACAAAGATTGGTTGTTCAGGCAGGTAGGCGGGTCAGGACGACAAGTATTTATGTCAGGGAGATAGGTATATATAGGTTATTTAGACAGACAGTTAGAAAGGTAGGTAGGTCAGGAAGATAGTTTGATTACTGGTCAATGGTGAGGTTGGTAGGTCAAGGAGGCAGATAAGTAGGTCAGTAAGACAGATAAGTAGGTTAGGTAGACGGTAGGTCAGTTGGATAAGTATGTAAAGTCGGGTAGACGGGTTAGTATAGGCTAGGAAGACAGGAAAATAGGTCAGGTATTTAGTTATGAAGGTCAGGTATACAGGTATGTAGGTTAGGTGGACAGGAAGGTAGGTCAGACAGAAAGATAGGTAGGTCTGGTAAACAGGAAGGTAGGTTAGGTAGACAGGTCTGTAGTTAGAGTAGACATGATGGTAGGATTATGTAGAAAAGTAGATAGGTCAGTTATGGTAGGACTAGGAAGAAAAGTAGATAGGTCAGGGAGACAGTTAGGTTAGGTAGATCGGTATGTAGGTCAGGTAGATCGGTATGTAGGTCAGGTAGATCGGAAGGTAGGTCAGGTAGACAGGTTGGTAAGTTAGGAAGATAGAAAGGTAGGTCAGGTACATAAAAATATGTCAGGTAGACAGGTAGACAGGTAGACATCAATGAAGATCAGCAAGTGCAGAAAGTAGACAGAAAGCAGTGAGTTGGATAATTAAGTAGATCCTTCTACCCCCGACTAGGATATCTTAACAGTAGGTCGGTAGATAGGTATGTCGGCAGGTAGGTAGTTTGAGTAAAGTTAGGTAGGTTGATATATTATGTTTATAGTTTTATTTCCCCTGATTGCCTGGTAACAAGGCAGAAAGATAGATAGATAAATTTAGAATGAATCCTAATTTAAATAATCTTGTTTATGTTGACAAACAAACAAACCAGAATAAATATTCGTAATTTAGGAAATTAATTTTAAACGAGTTTCCCTGTTCTAATTAAGCAATTTTATATTCCGGCACAAAATACTTTATCCATTCATTCATTTCATTCATCCTTTCATTCAATTAGTATTCTTTTTTTACATAAAGAACAATTTCCGAGACCCCCCCCAAAGCCAAGACAAATGAAAAACTTTGCTTGATTTTTTTTTGGCTAGCACCGATTAAATTTGAGCCGAGGTTTAAATTTAAGCCGCGGCTCAAATATGTTTGGTTCCACTTAAAATTGTATTAATTGTTTCAAGATTTGAGCCGGCGCTCAATTGAAACCGGTTTTTGGCGGATTTAGGACGCGACTCAAATTCATTAAATTCGGACACTGATCCGGTTATTTAATGGGTTCAGTCGACTATTTCTTTATATGGCCATTGGTCAATCGGATTCAGTTTAAACAGAAGGAATATCTGACTGCATTGACCCTAATTCCTTTCCTTTTGTATTGGTATTCTTACTATTTCATTATAAAAGCATTATATAAACCCTTTTATTATAACATTCTTTAAATACTTATTTTGTTTCCTCTGCATCTACAGGATTTATAAATGAAAATGAACTTTTTTTCCTGAAGAATGAGATAGATGTGTTTTTGAAACTTTAAGAGTTTTGCAAAAATGTTTCGGAAATTTGATTTGATTTTGAGGACATTCTCTTTAATATGAATACCCTAGGCTCTTTGTACTACTTTAGCCTTCTTATATGCATACAGCTTTCTAAGTTATAAAGCTATTTTCAAACTTTAAACCATTTAAACTTGTTCAAAAACTTACCCGTTTGACTTTTACATTGAGTTGTCTAAGTTATTACCTAAAATCTATAAATCTATAATTTACAGTTTGTATTTTTATTTTTCAAAATAAGTTTGATTAAAAAGCATTATCAATAGTTATAAATACCTTTCTTGTTAGCCTGGTTTGTCCAGAGCATTTTACGTGTAGGTATCCCTTTAACAGATCGCCCATTGCAGACAATCACTTTATCCCTCGGGCGTTCACATATTTTGTACTTTTATGTCTGAAAAGTAGTTAGAATACTTAGATGGGGAGTTGGAGAGTAGGGGGGGGATGGTTCTTTATTTGAATGATCAGATCATTTACATATTATTATTTCCTTATTTTAAGAGACTGTTAAGGAAAAATGAAAGGTGGTATAGGTTGAAACCTAAGAACTTCAGGAGTTGATCGAGACCTATAAGAGTTCTATCTGATGTTCTTGCCTCGAGAAATTAATATAAAACTGTGTCAAAACGTATATATATATATATAAGATGTGGTAGAATAATCGACTGTTTAATCAACGGAGAAATAAGGAATATTTAACTGACGGAAAAATAACGAATGTTTAATTAACGGAGAAATACTCGACTGTTTAATCAACGGAGAAATAACGAATGTTTGATTGACGGTGAAATAAAAAAAATACAATTTATGGAGAAATAAGGAAAATTTAATTAACGGGGAAATAACGAATATTTAATCAACGGAGAAATAACGAATGTTTAATTAACGGAGAAATAACGAATATTTAATTAACGGAGAAATAACGAATGTTTAACTAACGGAGAAATGACAAAAATACAATTAATGGAGAAATAAGAAATATTTAATTAATAGAGAAATAACGAATATTTATTTAACGGAGAAATAACGAATGTATAATTAACGAAGAAATGACAAAAAAAAAGTAATGGAGGAATAAGGGATATTTAATTAATAGAGAAATAACGAATATTTAATCAAAGGAGAAATAACGAAAATTTAATTAACGGAGAAAAAACGAATGTTTAATTAACAGATATTTAATTAAGAAATATAAACGAATATCTTACTCTTGGAGAAACTACAAATATTCAATCACAAAAGAAATTACGAATGAACGAGGAAATAAAAAAAAACAAATATTTAACTTAAAGGAATGTAATTTTTTATACCAACCTTGAAATGTTAAGAAGAAGAAAAACATCTTTTCTCAAAGCCAATCTTTTATATTCGCGATTACATTAATATTTTTATTGGTACTCCATGATAATCTTTTATTTCACTTGTAAGAAAGAGATTAAAATATTTAAGACTGAAGTATGGATGTAAAGTGGGGAGAGTTCGGCTTAATGTACTAGGGGGAAACTTTTTTTGAACTAGGAGTAATCCTAGAACCTGGAATAGGGGACTTTTCCCCGGGATGAATTTCAGGAAATGTGAAAACTTGTGAACATATATATATATATATAACATTTTATACAGAAGCTCTTCAACCAAATATTTGGATTTCAAAGATTCTTGAGAAATTCCAACAGTTTTCTTCAATATTTTCTAACATAATAAACATCCGAATTTTAAATTAAAAACAAATATTTTTCTAAAATTGATTTTAAAATTTTCCGGGTAAACGAATGAATAAGACACAAGAGTTTTAAAAAGCACTTCCCTCCTATTTCGTCTCATCAATAATTCATGTTAATATTTGCACTTCACGGAGAACTTTTAAACTTTCAAAATTTTACCAATTCAATTCATGAAATCTTCAAACAACTGCAGAAATAATCTCGATAACCTTGAACGATGGTAAATTAAACATCTTGAATTTGAATCAATAATTCACTTGAATTTAAATCTGTAATTTGTTCTCATGGCACATTTGAAATCTATTTCAAATAAACTATTTTTAATTTTAAAAAGTACAAACACATAAAATGATATAATTGAAAACCTAGGATTGAAAACTTTTTAGATTATCTCTTTGTCTATTCTCTGGTGAAAGAGTAATCTCGATATAGTCTCCGGTATGAGATTAACTCTGGGTCTATAGTCTCCGATGCTAAGGGTTCGGAATCCAACCTCCGACTGAAGCTGAGGATGGGAGGAGAAGGAGGAGGGAGGAGAAGGATTGAGATGACAAGACGAATCCAGGATTTCCCGTACCTGGAGAGGAGAAGGAGACAAGAGATATTTTGACATTACATCTAAAAAATCTATCCATTTCAAGAGAAAATCCACGAAAAGGATTCGAGACAGAAAGCACATTTTCTAATCCATAAATCTTTACAATCTGTAACCCATTTATATTTAATTATTGTTTAGACTATTTGATCTAACAGAATTCATAGTTTGAAATTTCAGAGGTCTACAACATCGGGTTGCATTCATGTTGCAGAGATCTAGAGATAAAACATCTGAGTTTGTGACAATAACTCAGTTTCCCTTGTGTTTCTTGGAGAACGGTAAAAAAATGCGACTTGGAAAGCAGACATGAAAAGTTCAGATTGTTACTTGAAAAGTGGCGCGAAAGACTAGAATGTCTAGACTGAGTTAGGTATAAAAAAATTAAATAACGATATTTCCTTTTTATTGGTGAATTTTTTAATAGTTTAAATACGCATAGAATATTTTTCATGGGTTTAAATCATGATATGGTAGATTTTCCCAAAAACATTTTTGGCAACTTTTCTTTGCTGAATTTGAATATAAGTTTAGACAGTTTTGTAAATTTTAATGTAAAGTATGGACTTATCCTGTCCGAACTATATTCCTTTCATCTTTCAATCAAATACATTTACAATTTCAAGTTGTAGATGCATAGAGTCTGAACATAGGATGTATATACTGAAAATGTTTCATGAATCTAAAATATTAGGTTTTAGGGGGCTTGGTGCCGCTTCATTTACTAGCAATCTTAGTTAAACAGAACACAAATAAATTGATACATTTTGAAAACATCCTAAAATCAACATTTTTCCCAGACGACATTTTTCAATTTTGACCGGTCATGAACCTTCTCTTTAGTCGTGTGAGTGCAATTTAGGCTTTTGGTTGGACAATAGCTGTTTTGACGTTTATTGGATACAAATCAACATTCATACAATATAGACAAGCCAAACATCATTCTGAAAAGATCAAGCTTAGTTGTTGTAAATGAAGTATGAATTAGATATCAATATTCAAAATTTTGAAAACTAATTAGTTTTAATTGTAGGTTCTCTCCAGAAGTGACTTGTTTAGCATCTCTATAGCACAGCTCAGATGCCGTTCCAATTCCATAAACTACATTGGTCGATAACTTGGCATCTCCTATATTATTCGTCAAGTGTACGCAGAAATTATCTATCTATCAGATAAGAATTTAGCATGAGACATCTAGCGGCCCACATATCGTCCCCCAAAGTACGTTAACTACACGACCAATATCTTTTGAGAGAACGGGCTGATTAGGTTCAGACATTAATATGTATTTGTGTAAATATAAAGCACATCTGTACATATTTAAGAATTCGTAATTACACAATTTTTAGTTTTATATTTGATTGTTCCCGCATTCCCTATTTCTGTGGAGACGATATTTGGTCGCTGCACTTGGGCATTTCTACTGCAGGATACCATACTGGAATTACGTATAAGAATTATACACTTTCAAACCTCGAAAAATGGCAATACATTATTTATCAGATAAAGGTTTCAAGGGGACCGTTGTGAAGCGATTTTACAAAATGTTTAAATGTTAGAGAAATTATCTCATTTTTGTGCCATTGCTAAATGTTTGTTTATAGAACAATTTCTTTTATTTATTTTCTTTTTTGAATAAATCTTCTGAAATATTTGTTTAAATTCAGATATGAAGGAATTAAAATTGTATAGATATTTTTTAAAACCTTAAGTTTCTTGTAGGTTTAGGAAGATTTAGGTAGGTTTAAGTAGGTTTAAGTAGGTTTAAGTAGGTTTAGGTAGGTTTAGGAAGGTTTAGGTAGGTTTAAGAAGGTTTAGGTAGGTTTAAGTAGATGTAAGTGGGTTTAAGTAGGTTTAAGTAGGTTTAGGTAGGTTCAAGTAGGTTTAAGTAGGTTTAAGTAGTCCAAGTAACATAAATCACAACAATTGTGTAATGTGCATACACAAAACCTTTAAAGGGACTGTAAAGGAAAAATGAATGGGGGTATAGGCAGAAAGATAATCAGTTTTATATTAATTTCTTGAGACAGGAACATCAGATATAACTTTCATGGGTCGCGATCAAGAGCTAAAGTAAATAGCTTTCAGTCTAATCGCTTAAATGTCGTCTTACTATTTCCCAGTTGTACGGAAATGTAAATACCGTAAATAGTACAATGTTAGGGGATTCTATGAATGAGAATAAGTTTTCAACTAGTTTCTATTTAGATTTATCTTAAGATACACTTCTTCAGATATTGTGAATTCGAATACAACGTAGAGGGGAGGGATATAACACATGCCAAACTTGAGTAAATTGCACAAAGATTAAAATTTTAAATTTTTTAACCTTAACCCCTTAAATTTAAGAGCATAAGAGAGGAACAAAAATGTTTTCATATTTAACCCAATTAATTGGCTTTTCACATTCTTAAACGGAAATGAAAACTATAGAAAATGTGAGGTCACAAAGCCATAATTTTGATAAATTTTACATTCTCCTTCTGTCTAGCTTACAGTGTTACAAGGATGGATAGAGAACTGGGATAGGATGATATAGGATGGATAGGATGATATAGGATGGATAGGATAATATTGGATGGATAGAATGATATTTGATGGAGAAGATGAATAGGATGGATAGGATTATATAGGATGGATAGGAGGATATAGGATGGATAGGATGTGATATAGGATGGATAGGATGATATAGGATGGATAGGATAATATTGGATGGATAGAATGATATTTGATGGAGAAGATGAATAGGATGGATAGGATTATATAGGATGGATAGGAGGATATAGGATGGATAGGATGGATAGGATGGATAGGATGATATAGGATGGATAGGATGATATGGGATGGATAGGATGATATAGGATGGATAGGATGATATAGGATGGATAGGATGATATAGGATGGATAGGATGATATAGGATGGATAGAATGATATAGGATGGATAGGATGATATAGGATGGATAGAATGATATATGACGGATAGGATGATATAGGATGGATAGGATGATATAGGATTACTAGGATGATATAGGATGGATAGGATGAATAGGATGGATAGGATGATATAGGATGG